TATATATATATATATATATATATATATATATATATATGTATATATTAATACATATTCTTTAATAATAGATTATAATGCATATTTTTTAATAACTAGTTATAGTAATATAACCTCTAATCACTGTTAATATTTTTATAACATACCTTGTGAATTGTATTTGAGTTCATAATTAAAATTAGTAATAATATCCGTATAAATTTCTCTAACACAGTAACGGCGACAATTTGATGGGATGTACTTTTAATTTGTTAAGAGTATTCTTCTTCTTACTATTTTACTTAGACCAGAGAGAAACCTGAGAGCGGCCACGCCATATGTTTTGGGCGACACCGATTTTCACGCTGGTGCGATGCGCCATCTGCACCCATTTTTCAGGTAGAACTACGTTTCCTACGCCCATTTTCAGACGATATCCGTAAAGCGTCTTCTACAATGGCAGTAGGAGTAGTAGTAAGAAATAAGCAGTGAGTAAATAGACCAATCACAATCGATTATTTTTAAAACGTAAGAATGGAATTGGTCAATTTGCTTACTGCTTATTTCTTACTACTACTCCTACTGCCATTGTAGAAGACGCTTAAAGGGACATCTACATTGGAAGTAAGCAGTAAGAAGTAGGAAGTAAGAATAAGAAATTGACCAATCATAGTTGATTATTCTTCTCACATTCGACTGTGGTTGATCAATTTTTTACTCTTAAGGCCTTCACACACACTTTCCGTAACAGTAACCGTAAGACGTAACGTAAGAATTGACCAATTACGATGGAGTATTCACAAAAATGGCGACCTTATGTTTCGACGATTTTCAACGTGATTGGTCAATTCTTACGTTACGTCTTACGGTTACTGTTACGGAAAGTGTGTGTGAAGGCCTTTAGTTCCTACTTCTTACTACTTACTTCCAATGTAGACGTCCCTTAAAGCAGCGATTCGGTGCGTATCTATTCTACGCCCATTTCCTGGCGATTCGTATCCGTGCTAAGCGCATAATTGCGTGGTCAAGAACATGGACTATTGCGTACAAACTTATATTCCATTCAATATGCACATGATCTTTTCTCTTTACGCACTGTCATAAATTTATTTACGTGTATATGCGTACGAAATATCATATGTAAGCGTCTTCTACAATGGCAGTAGGAGTAGTAGTAAGAAATAAGCAGTAAACAAATTGACCAATTCCATTCTTACGTTTCAAAAATAATCGATTGTGATTGGTCTATTTACTTACTGCTTATTTCTTACTACTACTCCTACTGCCATTGTAGAAGACGCTTACGTGTATATGCGAGAACCTGACCGCGACGCCGAAGAGCACGCCCACTTCCATGCTCTACATACCCTTATAGAAATATCATATTAAGAATCATTGATAATTACTTATTTTCAAAAATACTTATTAAAAATACTGGATAATAAGTAATTATCAATGATTCTTAGTATGGTATTTCTATAAGGGTAACGCAACAATATTAATCGCATTATTATAAAACATTAATTCCAGTAGCATAAACTGTGGAAAAACTAGTGCTCTTTAAATAATATCAATACCTTTCGTGGTTGCCGATAAATAAGGAATAAATGCTAGCGGCATGTAAGAGCTTGATCGCAACATCGAAACATTCGCGCATTTCTATACTTTATCTAAAGCAGTGGTATTAATCATAATATTATAAACAACTAATTCCAATAGAGTAAAGTATGGAGAAGACAGTGCTTTTTGAACGAAATCGAAATCTTTTGTAGTTGCTGAAATTAAGTAATAAATGTTAG